TAATTGAGACATTTTGGTGTAACAGGACCTCTAAGCAACGCCTTCCCCCTTCCACACGCCACACACACACGCACACCCACGCACAACCCATTCCACGCAAGTGCCTGTTGCTGTCAATATGACAGCTGTCATTTTGGGTGGCAATTGGCATTTTTCATGCCACATACCGCATGCTGCAAACACAAATGATGCATCAATGCATGCCACACATGTGAATGCAATATGTAAATGTGAAGACCCAAGACCACACACACTCACACACTCACAGAGCCAACCCTAACGAAACATAATTGACAGTTAATATTTTGCAGCTGCCGCAAGAGGAATGCAGTAGAACTTTCAAGCGAGAAAATTTGTTGGGGGTGGGGCGGGTTGTAAAGTTCTGTTGAGGGCATTCGAAACTCATCGATCAAATTGTCACACGGCAAGTGCGGCCAGCGGGCGGAGTTGGGGAAAAGTTCGCGCAAACGAAAAAAATAAAGGAAGAGAAGAAAAGTTTAATTCAATTTAACATTGAGACGAGCCAAGTGAGAAAAAGGTAGCAAAAAGGGTGAGCATAAGGTGCGAAAAGGGGCTGAGCGTTTCGCACAACCAAAAAAAAACAAGTAAGAGGTTCTAGTCGGGAGCTCCCGACTAGGGGATACCCTGAACCCTCTTCTTTCAACATCAAATGCATATATATATTCTATTTTAGAAGCTATATGTCAAGTTTGGTGACTCTAGCTCTTATTATTTACCAAAATTGCCCAAAAAACAGGATATCGATATCGATTCTTATCGATTGCGGAAACAAACTCGATCTGCGCGGGAACCAGGAACACCTACATCTAGCTCTTATAGGTTCTGAGATCCTTGCGTTCATACATACGGACGGACGGACGGACGGACAGACAGACGGACATGGCTAGATCGACTCGGCTATTGATGCTGATCAAGAATATATATACTTTATGGGGTCGGAGATGCTTCCTTCTGCCTGTTACATACATTTGGCTTTCGCACAAATTCAATGTACCCTTATACCCATTTTTAATGGGTTCAGGGTATAAAAAAGAAGCAGAAGCAAAAACGGACGAGTGGCCCCAAGTTTACCTGCTATGCAAGAGCGACAGGAAGGGAGCAAAAAAAACATATGCACAGCATACGTAGCCAGCGAAACGCTGTGCCGCTGCATAAAGTATTCGTAAAATTCATAAATGCATTCGCTGGCATTCACTTGTTCAGCATGCGTGTGTCCTGTGCCTGGTGGCACGCATAATAATTGTGAAATCGGTTTTTTTCAGTCTTGTATTCAAGTGTAATGCACATTTTTAATACCCTACAGTCCCTAATATCGCATACTTTTTACATACTCACCTTTCTACAAAGCCTTGTCGCAAGTCAGCAAAAACGTTGGATATGATAGACGCTTTTTCCCATTGAACACGTTATGGAGTATTGTGTTTATCTCACGAAATTCCTACATGCTGAATAATATATATATATATACATAAAATCCCGATCAGTATGATAATGTTAATCGGAGTCCTCGTATTTATGAGTTCATGTTAATAGAAGTTGCTTTAAATGATTCTTTTAGGTATATTTCGAATTTATGATACGTGTGGATCAAATTAGTATATCATAAGCTTGGCCTGCAATGCTCATGGTGAAATAGATAGTTTCTACTGTCTGCAGTACTTTTTCTTAGATCATCTCGTTGTTATATAGTCCATATAGTATATTAAAGTAATTAAAACTTAACTGAAGATAGCTGATCTGTAAAGCTACAGCTGAAATGACTTGTCATTTGAATTGCATCAAAAAAATAGAGTTAAAGTCTCAGTCCATCAACCATGTCCTTTGCTAATAATAATATTTATTTCCTATGCAATTCCTTTAACATTAGTGTTAAATGTTAATGTGAATGTTAATATTAATGAACACGGGATTCCGCTAGGTTGATTAAATAATTGAACCCGAAAGGTATGGAAGGTACATAAACGAGATTTGTTGGATAAAGAAGAGGAAAGCTATATCTGAACCGTATCATAATTAGTAAATTATTTTATGTGCTGATATTTACAAAATATGACGAAAAAAAACTGGGTTCATAAATATGGAAAACCCATTGCTTGCACCACTGAAAATTCTTTTTGGATTTGCAGCCTTGATTATTATTATTATTCGATTTTTTGCTACTATTCTCATTCTAGAGTATAATTTGTATTTGGCAACTGTTTTTTTTTTTTTGTGCCATTGAGATTTTACAACACTTTTGCGGGTGGAAGGGTTCGAACTCGCAACCCTCACTTCATTTGTGCGAATATTTGAAATTCACAGCGGCAACACAACTGCCAAATGGCCCCCAACATTGTTGGCACAACTCCACAAAGTAGCCTAGGGAAGGGACTGGGGGCTGTGTGTATGGGGTCGGGGGGCATGTGACTGGCTGAAAGGTGCGCGGTTGCGCGCCAAATATAAATGCGCTGAGAACTTGGCTTATTAAAAATTGTAAGTGGCAGTAAATTAATTATAAACGCAGCCCGCAAAGTGTTTGGCTTGCAACAGCTCCACATGTGTGCGTCGACCACAAGGCGTGGCTAGCCCAGGTAAATTCCACTGGTGGGGTAGCATACACAAACACGCACACACGCACACACAAACACACACACACTTTTGACTCTTTCTGCTTTTGCTGGCTGTCAGCATTTTAATTTCTTTGTGCATCAAAAGCAGCAATTTTAATCAAATTTCCATTCTTGATTATATGTGCGCCTATTTGCCCATACTGTAGTGGATGGGGCGTGGCAGGTTATCAAGTGGCTGCGGTGGGTAACAAATGCAAAGGCAAAGGCAAAGGCAAAAGCAAAGTGAAAATGAAAGGCGAAGGGAAAGTGGTTAAGGGGCAAGTGTGAGCAGGGAATTTTGCAATTTACACAAGCATCGCAACTATTTTGATCGAGCTGCCTCGGGCCAAAAAATGTCACGCTCTAAATTAACAATAGAACCATCCATATCCAAGATGTGCTTGTCAAACTGTGCAAGTGACACCGGAGGTTAATAAATTACACACACACACACACACTCGCACACACACATCTGTGAGAAGTTTCAAGCAATTTTTATGAATTTCATGCGAAGAGCCAAAAACTGTTTAAAAGCCATGCTTTTGCTCAACTGCCAAAACTAAGTTAACGTGGAGGACGATGCATAATAAATCAAGCGCCAAATGCAACTGACACACTAAAAGGCTGCAAGGCAAGCAAACGCACAAGGAAATTAAGAAGTTACACATGTGAAATCAATATTAATTGCAATTAAGTGAACATAGAGAACAGAAAGCAATTGCTCTCCTATAAATGAGGCTTATCAAAACGAAGGGCGTTGCCACTAATTACCTGTTGTTGTTGCAAACAGCTATCTGGCCAATTAACGGCTTGAACTTGAAGGCCAAATTAAAAAAGTAGCACTACAAAATAGATGCAAAATGTAACTATTTTCAAGTTGAATGCAGAACAGTTATAGAACCAAGTGAAAAATTAGGTTGGTTATATGTTACTCAATAAAAAGAATCATCACGAAAAAATATATATTTTTTAAAAAAAATTCATAAGAAATTAAAAAATTAATCGAAATGTTAGGCAAAGAAGGCAAGGCTGGGCAGAAGAATATCTTTGTGTCCCCCACAAGGAGCGAAACTTAACAGCCTGCTAAAACCTTGTAGCTCATATTATTGAGAGAAGCAGGAGAACACATAAAAAGTAATATTAGAATGAAACTTAAATTGCAGTCGATTGTGCTAGAAGTTGAAGACGAACAACAATTTATATGCCAAGCTAAGGCTAACAAATATCCAACCAATAGACAAAATACATAGAGAATATAACAGGAACTGCTCAACTTAATATTTTAAGAAAATATAACAAATTTAGAGGCTTGCGCTTACTTAAGCCATGAGTCTCAAAAAAAAATAAACAGATCATTAAGGACCTACGCTTAAAAAACTAAAATTTAAACCCGAAAATTTAAAGTGAATTTGGTAAAGACCAAGGAAACGCAACGAATCGAAGAACGGTGAATTTCAACAAATGTGCACAAAAAATAAAGCCTATTGTGAATTAACTAACAGTGCGAGCCAGTGTTGCATAGCTGCATAGTGTTGCCAACCGCAACGGTTGCAGGGTGGCGCCTCCAGTGTTGCAACGTGTATTGCGGCTCCGACGTCCATTTTTGACAGTTGTCAACGATATGCGATGGGCGACGCATGGCTGGCCCATTAGGGTCTGGTTTTTCGGGGCCGTTGGCCACAGATCAACAGCTCAGCTCAGTTGTCGTACCTGAAATGCACCTGTGCCATACACACACACACACACACACGGAAAGAGGTGCTGGTGTAGTTGTTTTGTTTTTGTTGTTGTTTCATCTGGTCAGTGAAGCGTGTTGCCGATTGAAAATTTAATTTCCCGCCCATGGCACAAAAAACGAGAGACACAGAGACAAACTACAAAACTGTAGCTGGCCGGCTGCCCCGCCTACCGCCCCCATCGGTACGGCCAGTGTACTTCCGCCGTTTTAGCGTTTGCTGTTCCGTTTCATTTTCACTTTTCACTGGACTTCGATTTGGTTTCATTTTGGCTTCAGCTCACTAGCTGGTGTCTCTCTCTCTCTCGCTCTCTCTCTCGCTCGCTCTCTCTTTCTGTTGTAGCTCAGTTAGTCTGTCGTTGCGTCTTGTTTATGGCTCTTCATTTGCAATAATCCAAATTGCCATGACTACCACCAGTCCGACTTCCCAGCTATATTTCCTGTTTCAATTTGCTGATTTATTTATTGCCTCTGCCGGCAACAACAACAACAACAACAACAGCAGCAGCAAACACACCCACTTGACTGATTTCCGCCTCTCGAATGTTTTTTTTTTTTTATTTTTTTGTCGTGTTAACCGTATCTGTATCTGCAACGAAATTTAGCTGTATGCTATACTTATCTAATTTGAGCTTCGAACATTTTCTCATCCGCAGGTCTCTCCAATCGGCCATTGGGCCCGCCACATCGCAAGAGCAGTCTACCAAAGCATCAGGAAGTGAAGCGTCGCTTCCTGGAAATTTGTGATACCAACTTTTCGGATGAGGTGAAGGCGGCCCTACGTCTGCCGGCCTTCGATTCGTATGAATGGGGCGATGCAGATGTCATACACCTAATGCAGACCATGTTCCTCGAGCTTGGCTTCGTTGAGAAGTTTAGCATACCCGTCGATACGCTGCGCGAGTGGCTCTATGAGGTCTACAAGCACTACAATGAGGTGCCATTTCATAATTTCCGGCATTGTTTCTGTGTCGCCCAAATGGTAAGTGAAAACTGTCAACTCTATCGTTAGCAATTATGAAATATCATTGATTCGAGTGCAATCATAGGGAAATAGCATAGCAGTTATTTCTATACAACAACTTTCCAATTATTTCAATGATATCCATTCAATTTTCTGCTTAGGTAGCAACCCTGACAGTTGCGCAAGTGTTGGTAAATTTTTTTATCTGGATCGAATTCTGATTTCGGGTTTTCCTGCACCGTTGTGTATGTGCGTACGAATATATATATATATATATATATATATAAGAATTCATCTGCTATCCATGCATATGTCATTTGCACACTCCTCTCTGACATGTATTAGAAAGCATTTGGACTCAAGCCAAGAATCGCTCAGACAATTATCTAACCATATCAAGTGAATCCATTCCTAAATATCAAAAGCATATTCAGAACAAGCGAGTTATTTGAATCCTGAAGCGTAAATACCCATAAATTCGATAGTTTCGAGTAATTCAAGTGTCGTTAACTATTTTTATTTAAATAAATATCCTTGTTTATTATGTGGACTAATATGAGCAGCATGAGACCGATTTTCGAAGGCTGCTAAAAACCTTGTTTCTGTCTGATTCGTTCACAAACAGGTACTTTAATTGATTGTTAATTTATTTGAGCTTAAATTGTGGAATTGAACCAAACTCTTTATGAATGCAGACCTGCAACAAGCTGTAGTGTCCTTTGGGTGTCCTTTCAGGACAACAGCTGGGCCTTTCAGGAATTGAATTCAATTGAAATTGTTCAAGAGACGCTTGCAATGCGGCGTAGCTAGGGTAAATCCAAACATAGACAATTTATAGATATATGTGTATGTACTTATATATATTTATCTATGTACATTCATATAGCCGTAAAGAATGAAAGATGACCAGGCTGCCTGCAATCAATATATTCAGTCTCTCACTCTGTCCCTCTTCTTATGTGTGTGCGTGTGCTGGTGTGTGTGTGTGTGTGTGTGTGTGTGTGTGTGTGTGTGTGTGTGTGTCTGCAGCTGAACAATAGACGCCACGTTGTATGCAACAGAAACGCCAAAGGGCGCTCAAGACAGACAAAGCAGCAAGAGGCACACATGTACGTCTAGGTGTGTGTATGTGTGAGTGTAAGAAAAGGCCTATTTTTGGCTATACACAACAAATAAAAATAGCAACAACTGAAGAGGCAAAGAAATAGACGCGCAAAATGTCGCTCAGTGCTCACTACAACTACAACTGCAACAGCAAAAGCAACAGCAACAGCAACAGCAACAACAACAACAACAACAACAACAACTGGCAGACAGACATTGGTACTGACAGTTGGACAAACTGACTGGCCACTCACCGAAAAGAAGAGTAGAAAACAAACTCGTCAGGCATTTGGACCAAGAGCAAGGAAATAAAAACAAAAAAAAAAGACAAAAATTTAAAGCAGGAAACAAAAAGCTAACTATGGCTAGCTGACATTTGAATACCCTTCACGTGTTCGTAAGTTGTAATAGTCTTTAGCACGCATATTCCGGCCCAAATGATAATTTAGATCAATTCTGTACTAGTCACTTTTCAATAAACATAGTTGACGGCAGTGCCTTCACATATACATAAAAGATATAGTCATCCGTTTTCCATTCAATTCGCCCGATTCCATCATCAGCTTATCTTACTATCGAGCTGAGGCATATAAGTATCATATACGTCTTTCGAGACTTTAATTTGTTGAGAATTTCAACCGCCAGGCAACGAAAAACAACAAGGCAAGCAAAACCAAACTCCGTATTAACAAAGCAAAAAAAATATATTTAAATATATTAACTTGATGAGTTTGCTCAAAAAATCACAAAGTTTTCGTCCGATAACTGAAATGAAAGCTTATTAATATAAAAGCTTACGAAATTTCATTAATTTTATTTCTTTAGGAAACTTCTTAAGCCAGAGTTTGATTACGTTACCTGATAGTTAGCATATATAAAATTTGTTTTTGAGCAAACTTTAGGTGCTAAGGCAGTGTTTAATACATATAATAGCACAGTATTGATAATTTATTACCCTATCTGTAAAACAAAATAGTTTCTTCGGTAACAACAACAGTTGTAAGGTTTGATGCATAAACAGAAGCATTATAATATTTAACATGCTCGTATATAGAGTGTGCACGTATTGTGTAATTGCATAGCTTATGGCTATTAAGACACGTAGTTAATATCACAACCATCTTAAAATACCCTGCACAAGGGTATACAAAAGGAAAATCAGCGGCTGGCGAATGCAAATTGTGCCCAACAAGCGGCCAGCTGCTGTCCAGGCGCACAACAAACGAACAAACCCACACAAAAACCCACCCAAAATCCAAAACCTCCAAAAAACAAAAAAAAAAGAGAGAAAAAACAACAACCTTCCAACCCACCGACAGCGACCCACTTAGATTCTCAAGTGCCAACGAAGCATTTTGCAAACCGAGTTTTTAACCTACATTTTTGGCAAATGAAACTTGCTTTTTTATGCAGTCTTTATATAGTATATATATTTTATGTTGTTCTTGTTGTTATTGTTGCTGTTGTAGTTGTTGTTTTGGGGCAGCGGTTCGTCTGCTCAACATTTAGATGAAATATTAATGCGCTGTTAGTTGGCATCTTAAGTTGTAGGCCACAGTGCTCCGAAAAAAATAAATTAAGAACTCAGCTCGCACAAGACTTCAACGCTGAGTAGCATTGCAGAGGGGCAGCTACTAAAGTTTATCGATAAATATCGTTAGCAGAAGGCAGTCGGAATAAAAAGGAGCTTGAGTCAAGAGCGAAAAGCACAAAAAAAAATAATGCATGTGGAAACAAGCTGCAAACGAAATATTGTAATTATACGGCTCAATTGAACCTATTTCTACTCCTGTTAATATATAATAAGGCCTCAACCATTTTGGGAAACATTTAATCAATACTGATGTTGAAAGTAGTGTTGATAAGCGATTTAATTGCTGCCTTAATGTTCAACATAACTGCTAATGAAAACAGTGTTGTCAGGCGCCTAATTAGTGCAAATATTGAAATTTGTTTAGGACATTTTTTTGTTCAGTGCCCAACAAGTAATTAGCTGTTTCTCAAGTTCTTCTCAAGTTTTTCGACCAAACTATGCTATACCTATGGTGTTGGAAAACATAACGCATGGTGACTTTCGAAAAAAAAAAAAGGAATGGAAGAAGTTAAGCTTAAGCTTTAAGCACTTACATTTTTGTTCACTATTAAGCCAGCTTCACTGTAGCTATGCCATATGGCTTTTGACTTTGCGGAGAGGAAACGAAACTTTAAAAAATTATTTCAACTTGACAACAAAAGCCAAGTTGGCGCCGATGGGCGTGCCACTGTGCAACCAAATAAAAAGTGAAAATTTATAAAATGCACAACGGAAAAGGGAAAAGCTGAAAGAGAAACGGAGATGAAAGCATGAATGGTGCACTAGCGGCAACTGCAATTGTTTCATATGTGGCATGCCGCAAGGGCCGCCCGCAAAGTGGTTTGTTTTCTGAGAGCACAAGGGAGAGACAAGCTGAAAGCAGTTTGCAGTTTCTGGCTTATGGCAAATGGTTTAAAGTAAATACAACTAAAACACACTCGAATCTATTCACATTTGTGGGCTTGAGCTCTTTATAAAGCAACACAATGCGTGCAACTACAACTACAGCGATTCTCGTCTCGTTGTTGTTCTCGCGATTGTTGTTGCTGCTGTCATTGTCGCTGCCGTTTCTTATTCAACTGCAACAGCAGCAACAACAAATGCAATCAGACGCCGCCACACTGCGCCCAGCTTTTAACAACAATAGAATCCATTTAACTTCCGATGCTATCGATAGGCAGAACCAATCGATAATTTAGACCATAAGACCATAAGATGACCATCCTAAAATGTTTTTATACCATAATGTCAATCACTTTAAAAAACCTACAAATCTCTGCGATAAATTGGGGAAAACAAACTCCAAGTGCTATTTTTATACTCTGAACCCATTAAAAATGGGTATAAGGGTATATTGTATTTGTGCGAAAGCCAAATGTATGTAACAGGCAGAAGGAAGCATCTCCGACCCCATAAAGTATATATATTCTTGATCAGCATAAATAGCCGAGTCGATCTAGCCATGTCCGTCTGTCTGTCCGTCCGTCCGTCCGTGTGTATGAACGCAAGGATCTCAGAACCTATAAGAGCTAGAGACTTGAAATTTTAGATGTAGGTGCTCATAGCTCCCGCGCAGTTTGTTTCCGATAATCGATAACTTACTCCGTTTCCAAGCAATCGATAAAAATCGATATCGACATCCTGTTTTTTTTAGCAAATTGGGTAAATAATAAGAGAGTCACCAAACTTGGCATATAGCTTCTAAAATAGAATATATATATATGCATTTGATGTTGGAAGAAGAGGGTTCAGGGTATCCACTATCCTTCGGTGTTTATAGTCCGATCTTTATGCAGTTCTCACGGCTTGAACAAGGCATCCGAAAGTGTGTATATGCCCAAGCGCATACTTATTTCGGAAGAAATTGTGGCAACTATCCAATTAGTGAAATATTTTTACTCCGGGAGATGCTACCTTCTGCCTGTAACATGCATTTGCACCAAATCCCAATATCCTTATCCACCCATTTTCAATGGGTAGAAAAATTGATGACACTATATTTATTTAGTTGTAGTCTTTAGCTCCACTTGTTGCAAAATGAATCAGTGCAATTTATGATGATCATGATCATGAGTCGGAAACATTAACTCCATCCAAGCATTGGCCCATTGAAGGGCTCTGACTTAAGCGGCAACTGTTTGAGCAGCCCTCGCAGCAGATGTCAGTTTGAGCACTCTAAGCTGCAAAATGGCCGCTAGACTCGTCTGCATATGCGATGGTGCGTATTTTACAATTCAATGGGCGGCCATTTGCCATTTGCATAGGCACTCATGTATGTATAGCCCATGTAATTTCCTCTCTCTCTGTGGCTGTGTGTGTGTGTGTGTGACAGGACACAACA